AGAACTTTTCATGCTGCATCTTCTGGTATATTTTGTTTTTAATAAAACATGCAAAAAGATACAAAACACGGCTATTTATCCACTCCTAGCCATCATCTGAAACTTGTCTCCTTAAAAAAATTTCTTTTTTTTGACTGCTTTTGAGATTTATCAATTTTTTCGACTAGAACCAAAAGAGATAAAATGTAAATCATATGGTTCGATAGAGCAGTCAATGCTCTATCTAACTGTATCAAAATAAGAAACTTTCGATGTTTTATATGAATACAGCAAGCTACATAAAACTATTAAAAATAATGTAATCAACCTGTATATATATATTAAGACAAAAAGTTGTTTTTAAAATGCTGAGGAATAAAACATGAAGCTATTGAAAGAATCATGGTGTAGTGTTCGTCTGATGGTATAATTAGTATATAGAAGAAGCACCAAGTATTGACACTTAAATACAATAGAATTATTTTTGATACATGTGTGTGTTTCATGTATCATCATAGACATTCCTCAATTATTTGTCATAACTAAGAACTAAGAACTCGAATGATTCGATGTATTTAATTTTGACAACATATTTTAAGAAGATTTGATAAGTTGTAAATAGAGTGACAACATTTATTAGTAAATAAATGGGAACAACTTTGATGAAGATGAAATATGATTAATTTTCTCTTATTTTTTTTTCGAATAGCGTAGATCAAGATCAATCATTAGATTTACCTTTTATATCCATTAGTTAAAAAAATTCCTCGCTCTATTAAATTATAGTGTACATATTCCAATATGATTGATTTAGTTAATTTCTTGTCTGAATAGAATATATACTTGCGATATCAAACTATACTATGATCATCAATCAAACCTTTTAGATTTCGATTTTTTTCATTTATATTCAACATTAGTGATGTCACTTTTGTGTTCCGTTCCTAGGAACGGGAACGCAATATGCATTCTCTTTACTTTTAACAGAACCTTTCCAAATTCATCGAATAAAAGGTAATTTCCTAAAAATTATGGATTTTTATAAAGTTTGACCAAAGGTAATTGGGATTGAGGAATCCAAATCTGCAATCGGTTTATCAAAATTTTGAGTATGGTTTTTTCGTCAGGGATAGAGTATTTTCTAAAAATTACAAATTTTTATAAAGTTTGACCGAAGATAATTAAGCTCGATGAATTTGAATCTATAATCGGTTTCTCAAAATTTTGAGTTCGATTTTTTTCGTCAGGGAAAAGGCATTTTTGCAAAAATAACAATTTCTTTTGAAGTTTGACCAAAAGTAACTGGGGCTGAGGAATCCGAATGTGTAATTAGTTTCTCATCATTTTTTTTTTGTTTTTTTATTAAGAAACATTCTTTTTCAGTAAAATAATGGTTCTTTCGCAAAAAATCAGGCTCATAATTTTGAGAAGCCCATCACAAATTCAGATTCCTCGACCTATAACACCTTTGGTCAAACTTTATTAAAAAAAAATGGTTATTTTTCAAAAATACTATTTCCCTGACAAAAAAAATCGAACTCAATATTTTGATAAACCGATTATAGATTTGAATTCCTCGATCCTGATTACCCTTGGCCAAACTTTATAGAAGATCGGTATTTTTGAAAAATACCCTTCCCTTGACGAAAAAATAAACTGAAAATTTTGAGAAACCGATTGCAGATTCGGATTCTTCGATCCTGATTACCTTTGGTCAAACTTTATAAAAAATTCATCATTTTTAGGAAATTATCTTTCGTTCGACGAATTCGGAAAGATTCCGTTAAAAGTGAAAGGAATACATGTCGCGTTTTTGTTCTCATTCCTAGGAACAGGGAACACCAAATATCCAAATATAAAAAGACAAGCGAACATGTTTAGAAATCTTGCCATATTGAAACAAAGTTAAAAAGTGCAATTTTGAGACGCGTTCCTGTTCCTAGAAACGGAACACTGAGAAATGGGAACACTAACATCCCTATTCAACATGCAATTATAGTAAAGTATTTCAGTGTAGATACAATCATATATTCTACCTAGACATTAATTTAGAAACAAGTCTTGATGTTATTTTATTTATAACGACTGTTTATTATAGTAATGGAATTCTATTTTGTACTTAATTTTCTTCCAGATTAGAAAAGTAAATAGAATGAAAATCGGATCGATATAGCATTATCTCTAATGGCGTCAGCAAACATTTATTACTAGTAAGTCTCCTTAAATACCAGTGATATGTTGTATTAAAAAGTCGTCTTATTCTTGTAGAAACGAACATGTGCTCATATACAAAGAAGAAAACGATCGTCAAATAAGGAAAAATCCCAATTGGTCTGTAGAACAAATTTGATAAGAGAGTTCGATAAACTCTACAACTATATGAATATTAAAAAAACTTTTGATCCTCTTTTCCAATACAAAAGCTGTTAGCGTAGCCCCTACGGGATTCAAATGAGAAACACAATATAACTGCTCTTCCTAATCATACGAACATTGTTTTATTGTAAGTATCTAGGAATATATTTCTTCATCTTTCTTCAGTAGTAGTCCAACTAGAAGATGTAACATCCCAACAAACCTGAAATTTTCTTTTGACATTGTGCTAGAAGAAAGATACTCTTTCTTTGCAAAAACTCGCGACATTTCTCAATATTGACCGTTTCAGGCTACTACTACTCTTATTTTACTTAATCCTCTGAAAATGCATTAAGAGAGTAATTAATCTATTATAACGAGCCGCTATTGATATACAGTCTACAATCATATATCAACAACATTTGTCATGATCCGTGGGAAAGGAACAGGAAGTGAGTGCAAATTTCTACCTAATATACTTCAACACTTCTTTTATTTCGTGTTTCACAAAACGTGGAGATAAGTAAGTAGACTAATAAAAGTTTTACATATATTGCCCGAGATAGTATGTTTAACTTTCAACAAGGTTAGTTGATTGACTGATAATTGATGCTTCGAGATATAGTGTAACATACTGATACTCTCTCTAATCCTGAATACATATAATTTTGATTGGTGTTTCTAGTTTTCTTCAAATTTTGTATTGGAAAAAAGATAAAATTTTCGAAAATATTTCTATTCTCGCAGAGCTTATCGAACTAAAAATCTCTAGAAAACATTATTTCGTTTCCGACTTTACGAATATATTTTATTTCTGCAAACAATGTAAGATATAAAATACTTAATCATGATCAACAAAACAACCATATCTTTTCATGATCTTGATGAAATTCGAACTATTTTATTTTCAAATTATACCTTTAATCTTTCTCTACATAACTGTATTTCAATCGACTATCTATATATGTATTCATATAGATAACGTTAATTTACAGGCAGGACTCTAAACTTTTGACTTACACTTTCATATTTTTCAAATTCTTTCTCAATTTACATGAGAAAAACGTTGAAGAAGACATGGACGAACATTTGTTTTTCATTGTCGTGTACAACTGATTTTAACGCAATTGTAATAAATATTTTTGTGTATTCATTCTCCATTTCTTAATCTTCTTATGGAGTAAGAAATCACCAATTCTTTTATGCTGAAAGGAAAAGGATCTTGGCGTAAGAGAGTTCTTGATGCAGGTCAATCTGTTTAAGAAAGTAACAAAGTTTGTATACCTATCTTTCAAACTGGAAATTTGCCATTATTCATTCCAGAAATTGGAAACAAGAGATAGAAAAAAATTGAAAATCCTCTAGTGAGCATTACGAACTACAATATTTTCTATTACATCACAATTGATCACTTCTGTGACAGGTTCTTATTCAATTGTCGTATTATTATGAAATCCTTGAGAAGATAATGGAATTCCTGACGAGGGAACATTCCCAAGTGATATCATCCGTTTGTCTTCATATTATGTTCATAGGTAGGACTTATAGTGTAGGTAAAAAATCTAAAAGGATTCGTGCCATTGTGTCTTTCTTCTCGAGTTATGATCATTTTACTAAATTTTCAGCCTATCACAGAGTGTTAAGGAAAAAATCTCAACAAGGAGTTTCAGCTTGAAAATTTTCCCAATAATAGATCTTATAGTCCTTATTATATCCTGAAAGTTTCAGCTTAAACAAATGGTTTCTTTTGGAAATAGTGCATTTTCAAAAAATTACTACTTTCTGACAAAAACTTTGAAAATAGTTCATTTTTGAGATACTTCATATCTTAATAAAATCTCATTGGTTTGAGCTGAAACTTTCAGGATATAATAAGAACTATAAGATCTATTATTGGGAAAATTTTCAAGCTGAAACTTCTTGTTGAAATATTTTTCTTAACACTCTGTGATAGGCTGAAAATTTAGTAAAATGATCATAACTCGAGAAGAAAGGCACAATGGCACGAGTCCTTTTAGATTTTTTACCTACACTATAAGACCTACCTATCAAAATAATATGAAGACAAACGGACGATATCACTTGGGAATGTTCCCTCATGAGAGAAAACATAATCAATAGTAAATTCTGATTGTAAGGAATCTGACAACAAGATGACAATCAATATTACGGATAAACAAATACGATCAATTAATAAGTTCATTTCTTGCTGAGTGTAGGTGAGAGTGTCGGTACAGATGTAGGTGAATCTGGATGTGGATCTGAATGTCAATGTGGATGTCCGTTTGATTGTGAGTGTGGTTCTAGATGTAAGTGCGGATGCAGGTGTCAATGTAAGTGAATGTGGAAGTGGGTGCAGGTGTGGGTGTTCTATTAATGCACACCTACACTCACATCGGCACTCATTTCCATATCCTATGGAATCGAAATATACAACAGATAAACAGTCAATAGACATGAATACAAATGATCTTGCTTTCAATTCATTTGTCGTATAAGTAAACACTTTTTTATATAATCATCTTTTATTGAATCATTTTCATACATGACTTATTAAACAAAAGTCAATAATTAGTCAAGAAAAAAAGATTTTTTACAAAAAAAAATAATTTATGCACAAGTCCTTAACTATTCTTCATAAAAAATAATAATAACAAAACAAAATTTTATATTGATGATAAAATATTATAAATAACATCTAATATTTGTGTATTATTTTTCAACCATTGATCTTCTTTTTCTATCATTTTTGGAAGTAAAACAGTAGATGCTTCTGATAATTTCCACTTTTGACCATCATATGCCACTAATTGCCATTGGATTCCTGTTGTTAAGAATCCATACACTAATTTTTCATCATTATTTCCATTCGACATAGATTTTAATGCCAATAACAATTGAACAAGTCCTTTTCCAAGTGCATCACGTTTTGCTTCGATGACAAGTACATACAGGATACTGATGATACGCCAGTTTATCAGGAAAACCCGACCTATCGATAAAGTATCGATCTGCAGACAACAGGCTGAAGCTTAAAATGAAATCTTCTTGTGCAGTGAGCTGTCTGGTGGGTTACCTTCGTACCTTGAATACAATCATAGAGCAGGAAAATGAAAAATATAGACCAGTATAGACCGGTTTGAACCGGTCAGACCGGTATGGACCGGTAGACCGGTCGATCCAAAATCCAGACCGGTACCGGACCGAACCGAACCAGACCGGTACCGGACCGGACCGAACCGGACCGGTACTGGACCGGACCGGCCGGTAACTGGTACCGGACCGGACCGGGCCGGGCCGAACCGAACCGGTACTGGACCGGACCGGCCGGTAACCGGTACCGGTTCCATCTCTGATGTGAACAGCTTCATAACGAGTACTATCAACATTAATCTTTTCAATAATGACAAATTCCATCTTTCCACCAAATTGTTCGTTCTTACTAATAATTTCTTTTTCTCGTAATAATTTTAAATCATTACGATTCATCGTAAGTTTATAATAAGAAACCACTGCCTGTAAAATAACACCAATATTGTCTCTTACAACTGATTCATTCATTGGAGAAATTGCTGCTTCTGGATATCCTTCTGATATAATACAATCAATTAATCGTTCAAATATTTTTTTCTTCAATTGTTCTGGTGTTGTTGTTGTAATAAATTGTTTAAGTGGTATTTGAGAATCATAAAATATGTCAAGTTCAAATCCAAGTATTGATTCTGCTTCTTTTTGAGAAATATTTGAAAATGAATTTTTGTATTTTTTTTTTCGCTTTGAATGTGCTTCTGTATCAGCCATTTAATGTAAATCTAAACAGCAAAAATAAAAGATTGACCTGTCATTTTGAAAATCCTCTTATTACTTACAACAATTACCAATATTATAGTATATTTCAGAGATGGTACCGGTTACCGGCCGGTCCGGTACCGGTCTATACTGGTCTATATTTTTCACTTTCCTGCTCTATGATTGTATTCAAGGTACGAAGGTAACCCACCAAAGAGTTCACTGCACAATATTTCATTTTAAGCTTCAGCCTGTTGTCTGTAGACCGATATTTTATCGATAGGTCGGGTTTTCCTGATAAACTGGCGTATCACCAGTATCCTGTCACTATCGGTAGACCGGTTTGGACCGCTCAGACCGGTAGACCGGTATACCGGCCGGTCCGGTCCGGTCTACCTTTCTCCAGACCCGCACCGGTACCGGTCTGAAAAAGGTAGACCGGTTCCATCTCTGGTATATTTGTTTTAAATTTAAAAAAAAACAATATTTTTAATTGTCTTGATTAATGTGATTTGTTATTCTTCTTCGAGTGTTGAACAAAAAACAGTTGAAATGATTGAGAGAAAGAAATCTTTTCTCTTCAATCAATCGAATATCAGTATAGATCAATAATTCTTACTAGTGATAGAGGGCGTCAATAGTCGATAAGTTTAGGGATGCAACGGTGACGATCATTCATCGGTTAACCGTGGTACGGTTACCGGTCCCACTACGGTAACCGTACCTACGGTTATCGTCACTGTTGCATCCCTAATTATATAACATGAAAACATTCTCTCCTTCCTTGTAGTGTAATACTATCAGACATTAATGAGATGATTGACCATTGTTTTTCGTGATGCTCTATAGACGGTGCTAAAAGTCGGTCTGGGCTAACTTTACTATAAAAAGTCCAAATGAGCTAAAAGTTTAGGATTATTAGTTTCAGACATTGTCCTTTCGAATGCACATAAAAAATCAAAAATTTAAATTTTTACGAGTGCTTCGTATACTGAGGTCATGCTCGATGATATCATGGAGGCTCTCTTAAACTTTTCATCAACGATATTTGTGTTGGAGTTAGGATTTCATCAGATAAACTTGGGATAGTAAATCGTTCTAATTCAGCCAATGAGACATAATCTTGCACATAGAACATATCATCAAGGCTCAAATATCTGGAACCACTGGTAGTATGGGTATGAATTTACATCTATTTTTAGATGTCATGTTTGTTAAACTATTACGGTTGAAGAGAGGAAAATTTCTCGAGAGAATAATAGAACAGAAAGAGATCAGTTGAATGCAATGATCGTGCATCAGATAAATGAATGGAATCAGTTTGTACTTTGATTCGCGAATTTTTTTCGTGTTTTCATACAGAACTATTCACGCCTGAACTTCGATACATGTTCTAAATCCAAATGTAACGGAATTGATCGAAATAATTGACAAATCGATCATAAAAAAAATCAAATGAATCTAATAAATCCAGTACAATGAAAAATATCAATTATCTCAATACTTTGCTTTCAGGCAACAGTTTTAATACCCGGAACAGAAAAAAACTATGTGTTAGTGTTTGCTTACTAATAATTTTTTTTGCATCAAAGAATAAAAAGGAAAGAATCAGATCTATGTTTATAATTATATCCTTCTGTGCATACTATGTAAAACAATTCAGAGAGATAATGAGGATTTTTTAGCTCGTTTCGTCGAGCGGTCTCTTTCTATTTTTATTTTTAAAGAAACGTATCTTGTATATATATATAGAAAGATGTCCTTTGTGTATATATTTAAGTACATCACAGAAAAAGGAAGGAAAAGACAGGACTGTACAACAAATAAAGAAAAAAAGAAACGAAAGCATCGAGGGATAGAAATGAACTGGATCTACCGCTAACACGATTGTATGACGAAACGAGTATATATGGATATATAACTACGCGCAATGATGCGTTCTGTATCCTTCTCTAGTAAACGGCATACCATCCATTTGGTTGTCAACATCATAACTCATATAACGATATCGACAATATCGACAACAATTGTATATTCTCTTCTTTCGCCTTTTCCGCTTCGCCGACGAGTATAATCATATAGGCTTACTGTGTAATAGGAAATAACATAAGAAGAAATCTGCATATATTAACGGGTGAGGCACAAGTTGTTTTTGCATTAAGTTTGTTTTCATTTTCACCATTTTTTTAATAATTTTATGTTGTTTAGAGATATCTAACTCGAATTTTCGACATTGAAAAGAGCGATCACTGCAGTGTCTATCTGTATAATATTCACTATAGTCGAAAAATATTATATACATAGATGGTTTTGGTAATCACTCTTTCGAATGGTGAAAATCCCAGCTCGATAGCTTTGAACAATCGAAATTTAGTCGAGAAATGATTGAGGATACTTTAGAAAATTCTATTATAATTCGACGAAATGTTGTATGGTACGATATCGAATGTTCGTGGGAAACTTAGACAAAGGTAACATCGAAGAGCTTTTGTCAACTTGACATTAAATGTTTTTTGTAGTTTAGATATTGTTCTTTCTAATACTAAAAAATGAAGTAAAAATAATGATCCATTGTGGGGCACTAGTGAAAAACAAAACTAATGCAAAACTTTTGCTTCATCCGTTAGTTATACTCTTAGATGTAAGAGACCACAATGACATTTGTCCTAATACTTATATAATCGTTTCTGTTATTCCATATGTATAAATTATTATTATTCCAGAAAATAAAATAAATAAAGGATGATCACATTATGATGATGTAGATTTTAATTCTTTTTATTTTTTAATTATAGAATAATAAAAATAAAATTTTCTCAATGACGAGCAAAGAAGAACCTCGTGATAATAATTCATTATCATCTTCATCAACAGCAACAAGACTAAAATATACTATAAAAGAAAGAGCTTGTAAAACAGTTTCAAAACCACTCGTACATCGTCTTGATATTGAAGATTTATTTTCTAATCCATCGAATTTCAATGATAAACCTAATTTAGACGTACTTAAACAACATATTTTACTCGAAGGTCGTCTTACTGAACAAGCTGCACTTCGAATTATCGAAACCGGTAAGAAGATTTATTTTCTTCAAGCAAATAAAAATATTCAAGAAAACAACCTAACTAAGTAGTTTTTTTAATTAGTATCAGCTATGTTTACCGACTAAATTGAATTATTTATTAACTTATCATGTATATAAAGAAGTCAACTATTTTTAATATATCAACATCATTAACGTTATTTGCTGTGATTGCCTATCTCTTTTATGCTAGACATGAAAGATGAAAGATATATCTCATATATATATAAAAGCAAAAATAGATCATAAACACGATTGTTAATGCATGTTGACTTATAGAGCGAGAAAGACACTTTCTCCCTCCTCCTACAGATAGTCGTTCCCATCACAGAAACCTCTCTTACAGATATTGGTACTTTACAATCCAAAAATGAAAGAATAACCGAATGTCAGCTGAAATCTTTCGGTTTTGAGAACGTTAGGCTTTTTTTCACGTATAATTCTCACGTCTCGCTGCCTCCATTTGTGTAATCCGTCGAAATTCTGATTCAATTCTAAAGCATAAGTTTAAAAGACAAATCTTGTATTATTTATAGTCGAAGATTTTCTAAAAAAAACTATCGGTTACAGCCCAACGAATGCAATATTTTATAATGTGAAGTGGTCAGATAGTTTTTATTAGAGCCGGATTCACGTATGCTTCATAAAACTTGTAGATTAAGACCTAATGAATTCTGTTTTTTGATTAATATTCAATATTTCATTTGATCAATCAGGTACTGATTTTCTACGTGAAGAGCCAACACTATTAAATATCGATGCACCATTAACTATTTGTGGTGATGTTCATGGGCAATTTTACGATTTAATGAAGTAAGTGAATATTATTTTGTGATTATTATTGAATGTTTATTTTTCTCGTGGTAGATTATTTGACGTTGGTGGTTCTCCATCTAATACACGTTATTTATTTCTTGGTGATTATGTTGATCGAGGCTATTTTGGAATAGAATGGTTTCATATTATTATTATTATTATTTGTTTTAATATTATTTGAATATATTTTTTTTTATTTAGTGTACTTTATTTATGGTCACTGAAAATTCATTATCCTCAAACGTTCTTTTTACTCAGAGGAAATCATGAATGTCGACATTTAACGGATCACTTTACGTAAGAAAATTTTTCTTTGATAATTATAAATCTTGATTCTTTTGTTTTTTTATTTAGCTTCAAACAGGAATGTCTTGTCAAATATACAGAAAAAATTTATGATAGTTGTATGGAAGCGTTTGACTGTCTTCCATTAGCTGCTGTTATGAATAATCAATTTTTATGTGTGCATGCTGGTCTTTCACCAGAAATTCATACTTTAGATGATATTCAACAGGTAAAATATATTAACCATCGATACATTCTAGCATAGTACAGTTGCTGTCAATAACATTTCTATCCAATCTATATATTTCCATAAAGTTTAAAAGTCGTATATCGTTCTGAGTAGAAGGTTGACGAAATCGGTGAATACTTAGAGTGGCTGAAGATGAAAAAGCATTCAAACATATAGACGTTTATGATGACATGACAGTTGAGCCTCCCGGTACTTGAGTCTAACATAGAGAATGTAATTTAAGTTCATTTTACCTATACGAACGATTATTAACATTGAAAGTTGAATAATGCTCCTAGTCTTCTCTAGTTGGATCGATTTCGTGAACCACCAGCCTACGGTGCAATGTGTGATCTACTATGGTCCGATCCAGTTGCAGATTTTGGAAATGAAGACGGATCATCAAAATTAGCCGCAACTTCTCGTACAAGTGCACCAGTAAAATCATCAGAATCATTATACCTTCCTAATGCAGCACGTGGTTGTTCTTATTTTTATACTTATGCTGCTATTAATGAATTTTTAGTACGTAATAAGATACGTTCAATAATACGTGGTCATGAAGCACAAGATACTGGTTATCGTATGTATAAAATATCACCTGATACTGGTTATCCGGCATTAATAACGTTATTCTCAGCACCTAATTACTGTGATGCATATCAAAATAAAGCAGCTATTATGAAATATGAAAATAATATTGTTAAAATTAAACAATTTAATTGTTCATCACATCCATATTGCTTACCAAATTTTATGGATGTATTTACATGGTCATTACCATTTATTTATGAAAAAATCAATGATATTCTTTTAAAAATGCTTAATATATGTTCAGATGAAGAATTAGCTGAATATGATGAAAATTTTTATTCGTTAATTGAAAATAATCAAGTGGACCAACGTAAAGAACAAATACGTTCAAAAATACGTGCTGTTGGTAAAGTTGCAAAAGCCTATAAAAGATTACGTGAATTAAATGAAAATGCCCTTACATTACATGGTTTAACACCATCAAATAGTATGACAGAATTAGATAAAGTGAAAACAGCCGAAGTTGAAGTTGCAGCTTCAATTCTTCGTGAAAAAGCAGCATCAACAGAGGAACGTTTTTCAAAAGTAAAAGTACTCGATCAAGTTAATGAACGTATGCCATCACCTAGAACAATAATTCCATCAGGTGATCCAGGTATTGCTGAACGTATTTGAACAAGCATCAAATGTTAATCAAGTATCACAACCTATAAAAAAAACAATAAATGTCATCAATAGTATTTACACATATAACAGCACAAGGAATTGTCAAAATGAGATGTGAAAATTATGCTGGCGTACCAAGTTCAGGGCTGAGGCGTTCGTCAACACCAGTTGTATATTTACCAATACTTGGCAATGAAAAATCAACAACTACTAATAAACAATCACAATATTTATTTTTATCGCACGCCGATTTTTACCCTTGTTTGATTTATTTGTTTTTTTTCCTTCGTTGATTATTATTATTATTATTTTCTTTAATCTACATTATTTTGACTATTTTTATACTCTTATTTCTGTTTTGTGTCAATAAAAATGAGGAATATATAAAGATATGTGAAAATATCTATCGATAACCACCTAACTCATTTACTACAGCGCGGCTATCACAGATGGATTCTTGGGCAAGGGAACAATTCGTCGCTACTTTTCATTCCGAACATCCGTTTTTCTGGGTGTGCGGTGTGGGTCTGAATGTGGGTGCGAAAGAATAGAAGATCGACCTCGCACCCACCATACACCCGCACCCACACCCGCTCATGGTCAGACTCCACACTCACACCCATAGCTGGATAGCTTCATACCATTGATACACATGCGGTAGAAGTAGAGGCCTGAAAAGTATTCACGAGCCACGGTCATGGTCACGCGTGACGGTGATCGTGGCCGTGACTAAATTCAGAAAATCTTTGTGACTGTGACCAGGTCTCTTGTGATCATGACTATGGCAAAGACCAAAATCATGCAAAAATCCAAGATTTTTGTCAAATTTTTGCAGTTTTTGCTAAAAAATTGCGGCTAATTGATGAACTCAAGGCAATTTTGACGATATTAGTGTTCAGAATAGTTTTTTCAAAAGCCTTATTAATGTGGTAGTAAGTAAATTTGAAAAGTTTTCGTGACCGTGACTAGATGGGTTGTGACTGCAGCGTGACTGTGACCAAAAATCGCGGTCATGCAGTTTTCTAGTTAGAAGCTACATCCGGACCTAAACATCGTCAAGGATTCAATAGAGCATCATCTCAATCAGCACGCAGTAAAAATGATATGAAAACAATAAGTCCTATGGGAAAAACTGCCTCTTTATGTGTATTATATGTTATAGTAAAGAAGATAACAAATAAAAGTGGAGTGTGGGTGCCTCTTTTCTTACCTTATGCCCACAACCACATCCAAACTCACACCCCGCTCCACATCCTGCTACTATTTGAAAATTATTTCAAGTTGATTTTTAGATCAAGGGTGAATGGTGAAGGTGAAGCCAAAGAAGAGACATTCAACCTCATTCTCATCCATCCATCCTCACTCTCAAGATACCCATCATAAAATAGCTCGTTTGAAGAATGAAACATATGTGACTAGTGTGAGAGGAAAATGAGATTGAGATCAAGAAATATTGATGTGAGAGAATATCCAGACAGCACAGGATCGTAAAGATTTATTTAATAATAAATTCAGAAAACTAAATATTAGCACCGTGTTTCTAACGATTACACGTATGCTCTATCCACAACAAATACACCCAGTAATCTATTCTTAGAGATAACACTTCCAGTGCGCTCAGGTCTCGATTCGACTCATTTCTGTTAGTAATCGAAAGCGACTCATTTCCATATATTACGATACAGAGAGATATAGAGAAAAAGATAACCCGTTATACAAACAAGGACATCCATTATCTTGCTGCAAATTCAATTCGCCTTGTCATGTCAGTGTAACATTATCCTTGGTGCCATGTCATAAACAAGGACATTCGTCGCTTGATACAACTTTTATTAACTTTGTCTTGCTTGGATAATATATTCCTTAGCACAAATAGATAAATGAATTAAAATAAAGTCGAATATACTCGTTATTTTGAAACAGTATAATAGATTTGTAAAATCTTGTATAGATAATGAGTTTCTCGAGCATCTTCAAGCAAATAAACAATAATTAAAGTATTTTATCCCTCAAAAGTAAACTAAATTCGTATACTAGAGAAACTTGATGTATACTACACGACTGTTTTTTCTTTGACCCAATAACAGACATTCGACATTATGTATACAGATTTTCACTACAAAATAGTGGCTATGCTCGATTCTTATTACCTCATTAACTGCTATAGTGTATATGCAGGGCTGACCCGAATCAGCCAACTTGAGGGGATGTAATGAAGTTTTTTGAAGTAGAAGGTCAAATTTTGCGGTTTTTGAGAGGTGTTAATATCACTTTTGATGATAGATGGAAGAAAATTTTCAGATTTTATTGAGCAAAACAAAAAACGATTTTTTTGAAGATTGGGAAGTACCACACCCCCAACGCTCCGCCTCTCGGTTGGACTAGCCCTGTTTATATAGGTACCGATTTACGACAGAAATAAAATTTTATTTTTGTAGTCTGTTTGACACCTCATATATATTAATGATTTGCTTGGTAGATATTGGCTTTTTTCGTTAAATACTTAATTCTAGTCGATCTAGCATATTTTGTTTTCTGATTCGTTTGAACAAACGGTCAGACAGATAGATTGAAAGATATTTTATGCGATATATAGGTTAGCTTGCAAATTTTAGATGAGTGACACTTTTGTTGACAGATTATAATCGGCATTGATGCACTTTATTATGTTTTAGTGGCAATATCTTCTATGCTGTAATTTAGATACCAAAATATTGTAAATTTAATTTCGAATTGCATATGCTCTTCTTTATCACGGTCAGCTTACTGCAATCCTGTCTTTTAAATCGAAAAGTGTTGATTTGTGGAGCTTTTTATAATTTTGCTCATGTTTCTAATGAACAATAACAAGCGAATGTCGACAAATGAGAATTACTCAGCGAAAATATATTTCAATAATGTTTCGTTTCATTTATGGTTTATGTTTTCATAAAAATCTTTTAGATTTTCTCGTTGTTACAAATCCAAATAAAGATGTCACTGACGAGAAATGCAATTGCTATTAGTTATAAGAAACAAAGTATTTTAATGAAAACGAAATTTTTGCAAATATTAACAACATTTCGATATAAAAATCATAGTGAAATTTTGGCAATGTTCGAAAAACGTTTTTCATCTTTTTGGCGAAATAAATATGATTTACAGATATTTTTCGACGATTTGCCCGATGCATTTTATTTTCTTGCACTTACAATTACAGATCAAAATGACGAACTTAATTCCGAAGACTAAAATCGAAAACATTTATCAAATAGGATCTGTTCTTACTTTTTATTAGAATTTTATATTTCATGTAAATAAATCATCATTTTCAGTAAAATTAATTCAACAAATTTACATCTTAACTTTCATTTGAAATCGCTGGTAAAGATTGATATCAGAGTTAAAGCAATGGATTCGGGGTGTGGATGTGGATATTCTTTCCTTACACACCCACACCCTATATGAAAATCACTATTATGCCTCGATTTATCAGCAATTTTCCTGATTCATCTCTGATTTTAGTGTTGTGCATAATCGATTAAGAAAAAAAAATTGCAATTTTTCTGACATGAAAGTCTACGCTCTTCTCTGTTTCATTCTTGCAACTGACAACAAGAAACGTAACACATGAAAAGTCCCACAATAAAACCAAGTCATCATAAAAAAATAAACAATATAGAAAATCCTATACACTAGAGAGACAGGTAAGTCTATCTGGAATAGGCCAAGATCGATAACTGTCAATTTTCCACAGACGTTCACACCTTTATGTTCATTAATATTTTTAACGCGATGACGAGAGCGAATTATTGATGAATAGGTGCATGCGGGTCGAAATACAATTTCAGATGCGTACACTTTGGGACAGTGCCAACGACGAGAAAATATTACCATACTTGCATCAAGCTCGGGCGCAGATGCAAAATCACCATGGAATCGTTCTGCACTTTCTACTTTATAACCAGCTTTGTACACAAGAATCGATAGAACAGATTGATCGAAACGATGTGTGGTCAATGAACGTGATGTGATCGGAGCAATGCAATCAACATTCAGAGAACATGTTACGAATGGTATCAAAATATCTTTATAAAAACCAGAGTGATTTGTTGTGAAACCTAAAATGCCTCCTGCTATTTGATAGTGACTATCAGTACGAAAATCGTTCATGCTCGTATTCAATGCTGTAAATGTTTGCTCATCAGTATGATTAACAATCAATGTTTTTTGTTGTGTGAGGAAATAGCCATGTGTTTGGATTACTTCTATAATTGGATCGAGTGATGAACGTAATTCTGTACCAGCATCGAGATAGAAAATAGTTTTTGTTTTGAATCGATACTTCTCAAATGTCTTTTTCAATAGAAGTGCTTTATAAGCAAATAAATCTAGATCTGTCACATGTGGTGGATAGGTATCGAATGGGAATAGTTCTATTTGAATATTGGCCATGCAAGATATTCGAGAGAGTTGTGAATCAGTCATGCCAAGATCGAAAACAAGAATTGATACGTGTGGTTCATGAAAATGTATCGATCCGATAAGATTTTCCAATCTATCGACAAACTGAGCTGAAGATGCTGTTACTAGTATGAAATCATGACGATTCGTTGCATTTGGAAATATTGATAGACGATTATTGAGTTTAGAGACGAAATATTGATCGTGTGGACGTTTGATAGGCATCAGTAAAGTGCCGAGTAATGGTTTCAAAAGAATGCAGTATGCAACAGTAGCAAATATAATATAAATACCAAAAGTCAACAAAACGAAGAGTGTATACCGCTTATGCACAGAACGACTTTTATAGTAATAAAAAATTAGTAAACGATTGAAGTATTTTCTTCGGTTTCGATTGAGAAAACTCATTAAACTAAATCAATGTTGAAATGTTAGTTATTTGTTGCTGCTTTGATTGTCTAACAATTTGTTAAAGATGTTGTTATCGTCAAAAGTAATCCGATGAGTTATTTCTACACTTGACATATACTTGAACATATGTTTCGATCTTTTACTTTCTTTCCGCACTTTCTTGTTGATAGTCAGATGGTAAGACTATAATCTGTGTATCATAGATGAAGTTGTCAGCAAGCGAAGTATTCTTATCTACAAATATTAATAAAAAGAAAACAAAAGAGACTAGTATGTTAATGAAAATTTTTATCCACACCCTTTGATTTTTGATCTGTAAGAACGCATATCAAATTTAAAATTCTTTTGAGTTTTAAATTTGATATAAATTTCTATGAATCAAAATTAAATTCATAAGTCACTTGTTTTAGTAACATGTAAAGATATACAAAAAAAAAAGGATTCTACCTTTAAGAAGCTCATATGTGTGACGATTTTAGATAGAAGAGTCGCGAGCGTGGATGAAATTATATATTATTTAGCTCCTTCATACCATTAATCGCATCGTTTACATCAAAAGCACACGTTTTTATATGCAATTCAAAGAGAGAACGATAAGAGGAGAGAGATAATTAACGATCAATAGTTATGACAGAAGGAAGGACAAAGAATGTAATGAGAAAGGAAGGTTAAATATTATGTATGAGCGCAGTCAATTCAACCAAGCAGTGAGAGTAAGATAATGGTACACAATAAATTCGACCGAGAACATCACAATACAACTATTACTTATTCTGTGAAAGTGATATATATATATAATAATTGTTCCATAGATTTTGAGTCGTTTTGAGTTGTATTGTATTTTTCAAATACATAAAGTTGAACAAATATAGAATAGATATGTTTGTAACATGTCTAAACTTATCGTCCAACATTGACTATACTCAATTAATATCACTATTAAAAACGTGTGTTATTAGAAAAAAATACTAAAATATATTTATCAATTTTTTTTTTGGTTAGGATGACAAAAATTATAGTCGCACACTTATTGTGAATCATTGTGTTCTTATGATGTTTAATGCTAAAATAAGTTTAGACGTGGTTTTTTTCATATGATTAAGATAAAAAATATAATGAAAAAAGATTGAAAAAGCAAATTTGATAGAATTATTTTAATATTTTTACTGAGAACATACTTTTCTATGTTTCATACAAGTATTAGAAACATAAAAGGAAATAAAAATATAATCATAACTATGCTACATCACAAGTACATCAGAATTAAATTTAAACTTTGAGAAAAATAATACATAAAAGAAACTGGCATAATCTCGTACATATAAAAGTTAAAGTCGAGTCGGACATTTTCAAGAATATTCTATTCTTTTATGATTGTAAAAAAATCAGAATGTTCTATAAATAATAATTTTTATATCAGATATATTCATATCAGGATAAATTATCATATTAAAGATCCTGCATTTTAACGAATCTCAAGAGACAAATTGATTTAAATACCTTAAATTATTTTTGAAAAAAAAGTGGGAAATAACGAGTTATTGTTGAATGTAGTGATGAAATTTTAACGTAGCTTCTTAGTGTTCTTGTCTTTTATTTCTTGAAACCTCTATTATTTCCCAACATCATCAAGAAATACACATAAGAGTATCGAAGAAGTGTTTCGATCAAGATCAGCTGGATAACCAAGAACATGTTGCGTTATAAATAGAGGTAATCCATTGTGTACAATATTTATGATCCATACCAAAGTTTCAATCTTACCTACTGCTCGATAAAAAAAAATGACTTTGAGAGTCTTGTAAGATGTCTGTATAGTCCTCCATTGCTGCCGTTTAAATATCATATTACACTACCAATGATCTTGGAGACTATACAATGTCAGCATAGGTACTTACGTTTGTGTCTTCGAGCAATATCACAGTCATTCTCACATCGAAGGTTTCTCGTTTGTCCATGACGATAGTATTCTTGTGACGCTATGAAAGTAGCAAAGACTTTTTTTGAATTATTTTATTTTAATTCATAATTACATTGATAAGACTTAGCAGTTCTTCTTGCATTTTCATTCTTAGTTCATGACATTTCGTGATACGAATACCAAGATAAAATACAAGACACGCAAAAAAAAACACTAGTCGATTAAACACGAGTAACGTATAAGGATGTAAGAAAGATTTTAAAGAAAATTTATTTAAAAAAGTTTCTTCGTTTATTGTTCAAAAAAAAACACGAATATTGATATGACTGAAAAACATCTTGGTCAATTGAAAATAGACCTTCCTATGAAAAAATACAAATTCGTCTTTGAATAGTTCACGTATATTCTGTCTAGTGTCTTACAATAAGATGAAATGTTTTATTTCGATACGAATAACTGAATCATTGTTTATTGAGAAAGTCTAAATTAAGTGTTAAACAAAAACAAACATAGGTTACATCAAGTTACCATGTTTCTTCATACAGTCAGTTAGATATCAATCAATTCGAAAAAAACTATACGTATAAATCAGGTTCAAGCAATTAGTGTCGGAATTATTACTTATATTCTCACAGGATATATTCACATTTTCTTTAAATTATCATGTTTATGTTATATCATGCTGCATGGTCTCATTCACAGTATCTTCATATTTATCTCGAGAAGTTCTATTTTTGCACCTCATTATATCTCTATAGTGCTGTTGAGACACCCACCCCGAATGATCTCGCAAACAACGGGAGAGAAAAGAACGTAGAGCGCGGTTGAGTAAAAACTTATATACGCAAAACCACTATCTTCCTAATAAAGCAGATGATAAAAGGACGTACGGGTGAGAAAGAAACTATTACGTTAACAAATTTTCAAATGTCTAGTAACGTCGTCGTCCAGAAAGAGAATAAATCTAATGAAGATGCAGAACAGCGTTTAACAAATAATGATCCGCAATTGGCTAAAATCTTTCCAGAAGAATTAGCTGGTTGGCATGGGTATATTAAAATGCAATAAAACAGTATTATAATTCTCTATTTGACTGTATTTCATTCTTGTGATAGATATATCGAATGGGAAAATTATCCTGAACGTTGCAAAAAAGCCAATGAAATTTTGACAGCTCATAAAGGTCAATTTACACAAATTCCAGAATTTCAAGTGCTATAACAAACATAAACTATTTGAATTTAAATATAATACCTTTATTATAGCTGAAGCCGCTGCCTGAAACAAATCCAATTCTCATTGGACATCGTTGGAAAGAGTAAGTGTTCCTGTTTTTATGGATAAAGTTACTCAGAAGAATTCTAACAGAGTATTCATGTGAAATCACACTTTTTGTTCTCTTTATGAAGTAATCAGATAATATTATCTATGATCTTCTACGTTACTGTTCTGTTATAAACATATATCTTTTCATCTTTCTTTTTCTTTTCGTCTGAAGGAGAAACAAACTATAAAGCTTGACTTGTTAACCTCATACGCTCATTTTTTTTACGTCTTATGTGTAAGTTTCACAAAAAAAAACAAATAGGAGAAGATTCAAGACATACATATCTAATCGTCCGATTCATTCCTATGAAGTTGAACAATGTGTAAACAGGCGAAATTATACAAGCTGCATATTAACTAGTCTTTGATCGATAAGACGACAGTTAAGAGTTGAAGTATTTGAAAAATATGTGACGAAAATATCTGAATGTTTATATTGTATTGATGAATTCGAAGATATTTTGCTGTGCTTGGTCCTACACTCAAAGATGTTCCAGGTGAATCATGGGCAACTGTACAAAAGGAAAAAGCAGCTGATATGATTCATGTACTCGATTTTCCATACAACGGTGAACCACCTCGCGACAAACTCATGCAAAATAAGACAACTCCAAATGAGGTACTTCTCAATCCTAATATTCTAGTAATATTTCTAACTCATATTCATGTTCTTGTAGTATCATTTTGTGCGCAATCATGGTGGTATTCCGACTATTGATGAGAAAGCGTATCGTTTGACAATTGGAGGATTGGTAAACAAACCGCAAACTTTGACACTTGCTGATCTTCAAGATGTCAATAAATTTGAACCAGTCGAACTGACTGTAACCCTTCAAGTAATTTTTGGAGTCTCTGATATGTTTTTGCCGCACAAGTGTCAAAAATAGCTAAAAAAATTGAGTTGCAAGTTATGTTTAGTTTTAAGAAATCGTGTGACTTTTTTTCTATAGTCTTTGTTGCTTCGGACTTTGTCTCGAAAGGTTTGAAGTAGATACATCAACCTCTATACGTCTCTTTTGTTTTAACCATTAAAAAAATAAAACAGATTGCAAATATTAACAAATCCTATTTACCAAAATTCATTGCTAGTCTATATACAAAGAGTCTATGTTGCGATTATTCGAACTAGTTTGATAAAGTAGAAAGTAGTATTTTTCTTTAATCCGAAGAAAACTGGAGTTATGTAATGTTTATGATCATACTTAGTGATTGATTTTTGTTCTACTTCCTATTAGAATTCCTAAGCAGAGAATACAATCGATTATAGAGTAGACTAATCCATTCCTTAGTGAGATAAAATCTAGTTTTTCTTGCTTTACATGTTGGAAGTATTTAGTAATATCTATTATCTCAATCTACAATTAGAATAATCCAATTCAAAGAAAAAATTCATTTATTTGAAGAACTATAATATTGAACTTTTCTCTACAAATACATCAATTCACGTGATTTGTAACAACTATATTTATTGAGTTGACAAGTTCATGACTTATTGATCAATAGTCGATTTATCATAATATTATGAAATAAAAAGTTTTTCGATATAGTTTTTTTCTTGATCGATATCTAATTTAACTGATCTTTTTCTAACTCATTCTGATCAATTACAGTGTTCTGGCACACGTCGTATTGAACAAATTCATGAATATCCAGGCGAAGGCGATGAACTCATTAATGCTCCTTGGGGTGAAGGTGCAATCAGTACGGCACGCTATCGAGGAGTGTCTCTCAAGAAAGTACTCAAATACTGTGGCGGAATGCAGGCCGATGCTAATCATGTCGAATTCATTGGAGCGGATACATATTTTAAGAAACTAAATGTGTTCAATTATGCAGTCAGCGTACCACGTCGAAAGGTAGAAGCTGTCAATGAAGTTCTACTCGTCTGGGAGATGAATGGTAAGCCACTACCAGCTATTCATGGAGCTCCGATACGTGTTGTCGTTACGGGTTTTATTGGAGCGAGGTCTTGCAAGTGGTTGGCACGAATCAATGTTCTCAATGAACCATCTCGAGGTCCCGTACAACGACAAGAATACCTTTACTATGGACCACAAGTTGGCAAGCAGAACGTTCTCTTTTCCAATGGATTTTCCATTCAAGAGATGCCTGTATCCTCGGCCATTATGACTCCCAAGGATAAGGAAGTGGTAGTGCATCAGGGTAAGATTCATGTGACTGGATGGGCTTATTCTGGTGGAAGTAGATGGATAGAAAGAGTTGATGTATCGCCTGATGGTGGGCATATTTGGTAAGTTATATTCTATTGTGAAACATGTATCATTCTTTTTTCTCTATAGGTATCAATGTCATCCAGATGATATGACTGAAAAGTGAGTATGCTATTATTTCATAATTGTATGTTTACTAAAACAAGAGAAAAGATTTAAGTTATTTCATTTTAATCGCAATATAAATATATTTTTCCAAGTAATAATAGTATTATTATCGATTGTGATTCAAATCATGTCTCTTTTCATTTATTGCGTCTATTTTGAATCATTGTAATGATAGATGGTTTTGAACTCAATATGATTCACTCGAAGTAGTGAGTCTTTATTCGTAGCAACGTATGTAAATATAAAATTTTTCAACTCAAGAAATCCTCGTAACCGAAAATTTCATAAGTGCACAATGTTTGCAAATTTTCCTAATAAAAAAGTGATTAAATATGATAGAAGAAGGAAGGAAACCCGTCTTTCGGCTACCATGCAGTTATTCAATAGCCGAATATCTCCCGCACAAATAATAATAGCTGTAGTTCTGAACAGAATGCCGACCTGACCTAGAGTTCTTGTACTCAATTGCTTGAATTCCTCATACACACTAACTAACCACATACTAGCCACACGAGCAGATATATTTCATAACGTAGTCAGCATGCTATCGGACGAGTGATCCAAGACAAACAGCCATTAGTGACTTGCTCAAGGTCATTTCATAACTGATAAGTTACCAATAGATCTCAAAAGTCCATTAACTTAGTTCTTTTAGTTTCTTGTGAAGACACATTTTCGAATTCTACATATCTTTCAAAAACTACCTAATTGTGATAATATCTTGTTCAAGAGAAATCTTTTATACTGATGATTTTTTTCTAATTAAGACATTATCATGCTTGGCGTTTATGGAAAATTGATCTTCCGGTGGTTGCTGAAGGTTGGCTCGAATTATGTGTTCGAGCTTTTGATAATGCATGCAATACACAGCCCACTTTTGTGCGCAGCACTTGGAATTGGGATTTACATGTGACAAGTTCATCGCATCGAATCAAAATCTACTCTGTCAACGCATCACACAAAGCTACTGCTCAGAGATTACGCGAAATCGAGGAACATGGTGATTCATTGGAACCTATTACTCGGCCTCTCATGTTTCGTATCGAGAGCGAGGAACACTATGAAGAAGACATCAAGAAACATCCACGAGATCCAGTAGACTAAGATTTTATATTTAATATTAAACTTATATATTGTATTTCAGAATCGCTTGTAAAATCATCTTAAAAATAGGTAATGATTTGAAAGAATGAAATGAAAGTTATGTACACTTTTTTTTTTTTTTTTTGTTTAATTCAACTATTTCATTGATTTCATTGTCATTTATTTTATGTAGAAAAGTTGAATAACCGCAAAATTCGAATAAAATCAGTGATTTTCAATTATATTTCAACGATTAAATGGGAAACTAGAAGATAGATGGACGGGTGAGGTATAGACGAACCTCTATCTTATCTACGCCCACATTATCAGAATATGTATAAATTTCGAAATCGAGTTTTTCTCGAAAAACCGACTTTTCTGAAGCAGGAGGAGACTCTTAAAGTGTCCACACAGATTCTGAGTTTTCAGTTACTCACTCTCTAGAATATGGTTGATTCGTCTTTGTCTGCCAAGAGCAGGTGTATTTAGTGGTTGTAGAACAATTGGTGTGAAAGACGCTTTTGAAAGAGTATCATTCTGTTCTAGTGGTTTTGAGCTCATTAACCAACATATCAAATCATTCTGTTTCGCCTTGTGAGCAGATGCAGAAAGACTACACTTCTTCCAATTTGATGCAATCAGCTGCATCAAATTGGTTTTTCTTGAAAATAAGTAGTTGTAAACCCATAAACATGTTCGATATTTGATTAATTTGATTGAGAATGAAGAGATTGATTTTTCATTGCTTTTTTTAATTATGAAATCGTCAAGTTTCAGGCTTTTCTCATTTTAATGTTGCCTGTTGCAATATTTCAAGTAAAACAACTATATTGTCTTTCTATTTTTACGCTTGTTGTCATCACACATTTAAAAATCTTTTTCCTAGAGAGAGTGACAGAAAAGAAAAGAAAAGAAAAAGGAAAGACTGTGCGGTTGGTTCTTTTATTTAATTCAAATTTAAATGTTAGAGCATCATTTAATCATTTTATTTTATCGAACTATACAATTTTAATTTGATTTCGAGGTAGATCTAGATGTATATGTAGATAGTGTGATGAATGTTTCCTCCATCTACACGTACATTTCTATGAACAAAGACTACAAATTCTAAAAACAAAAAAAAGGAACGGTCAATTTTTCTTCGAGTAGGTTATCATTAATAGCATAAGCTTGAGTAAGATTTATGAAATAGTACATTGAGCAGATTCTTGTGTCGTATTAGATGATGATGACTGGAATCGAATGAGAAGCTTTTTGAGAGCATTGATAAAACGAGCATATTCATCTAGTTGAAAGATATCTTGTCCATTGTTTCGAGACTGAATTCGAGATCTCAATCGATCATATTCTGCATCCATACGTATCGATGATTCAGTGACTAATTTTGCATAGATAAGAAATTCAGTTCCATCAACAAATGTAAATGTGTCAAATAGATAAACGGATAAACGATTCTGACGAAACCAACATTTGATTTCTTCATATGTCCATTGATCAGGTGAAAGATTCGACGTTTCTTCAATATTGTTCAAAGAACGTAAACTAATCAGCGATCCAATTAGATTAGCAAATTGTTCTCGACTAAGTCCACGATGACGCATACATGTTTCATATTCATCGAATAGAGCATCTTCATTAGATAATAGACGAATGTAAGCGAGTAAAGCTTGACCAGAAGATAAATCAAGTATTGATGAAGGTAATTGAAGTAACTGTTGTAGATCGACATTAGTCCATTGTTCAATTGGTTTTGTATTGACCGATGGTAGAGTTAGACTAGGAACAATGTCTGGTGTCGACGAATGTGATACTGATTGTATTGTTAAAGTATCAATTATTGGATTTGAGATCAACCTTGTAGGCGATAAGACTGGTGATACTGGAAGAATTGGATGTAGAACAATCGATTGAATGGTTTGTTGTTGACTAGTTAGAGTCGGTGTCTGATGAAGTTTCTCTCTGTTGAGACTTCGTTTAGTTTTATCTGTTGCATGGATTAAATTGAGAAGAGTTTCCATTACTATTTCATCACTTTTATTATCTCCAAATCGTACAAATGTAGCGGAACCAACACGAATTTCAAACCAATCTTCAGGTTGATATTCTTTTCCTTGATAGATAGGTATGATTCGTTTATTACGTTTATCAGCATGAATTACTTCCCGACGACAACTTTTCGATGTACAATAATTTTCCGTAACTATCATAAGAATAACATCACATTGTGTAATAGCACAAGCAATTTCTTCCCAATCATCTTCATATGGTGGTTTTAATTTAATAAAATCTACCCAAATATCACCTTGAACACGATTTTGAAGTTTATTAACAAGTTGTTGACATAATTTTGTATCTTTATGTGCATAAGAAATCATTACTTTCACATGATCATAATCTATTTCAGTATTATTATCAATTGGTTGAAGATCAGTTTGAACAAGATCAAGATTAAAAAGAATACCTTTTGCTGCACGTCTCATAGTAACAATATGTTCATTATTAGATTCTGTTTTAGACATTTGCTCAATAAATTGAATAAATTCATCATTATTTTTTAATTTTAGATAATAATCTGATTGAAAACTAATCGACCAAAAAATTGTATAGAGTGAAGAACAAATTAATCCATGTAAATCATTTGATTCAATATTACTATTTCTTGTACATAAATGATTAAATTCTAGAAATTTTTGAAAAAATAAATCAAATATATTATCTTTTGAAATAATATATAAAAGAAATTTATCATTAGCAACTAATTTAGCTAGACCAGCTAAATATTCTGATACATTATATAAACCACAATTAAATTCAGATGAATTAAATGCTTGAATTGTTCGTTCAATAATATGATCAAGTACAGTTTGTATACTAGTCATATTTCCTTTTTTCATTTCTCTGGGTTCAAGTAGAAGTACATAGAGAAGATAATAGGCAACGAGAATTTCTTCAAAAGTTTTCATCATATCATTTGATGGTAATTCTGAAAAATATCGATTTTTCCATTCTTTAAGAATCGTAAGTGTTTTCAATTTGTTCAATAGTTTTATACCAATCCAATGACGAGCAAAATTATATAAGATATTAATGACAAGTAACCATATTTCTAAAGATATTTGTTTTTCGGCATGTCGTATTTTTTTCATCTATTCGAGTATAGCTTCAGGATAACCTGTTTTAACAAAATACGGAATAAATCCATAAATATCTGCCATGTTAAGTAACCATTTCAAGATCAAAATATCACTTTCTGAATGTTGACGATCATCTAAAAAATAACTATTCAAATAGATTATAAATGCTCGAAGAAGACGATCAGTAGTATTGGTCAATTCAAAAAATGTTGGCGTCGTTTTTCGTGAAACACACATTGATGAAGAACCACTTGTTTTATAATAAACAGCTCGTGAACCAATATAACAGAATAAATTAAAAAGTTGTTCATCGATACTAGATTCATTTGATATTGAAAATTTTTTTTCAGTGAGATAATTAATTGTTGAATCAGTTGTTAACCAAATAAGTGAAATTTTAAAATAACAATCACTCATCAACGAATTTGTTTCCATATCAATAATCAATTGAAGACGAATAATATCCAAAAGAGTAGAAACAAATGATGAAGATATTTTCGACGAGAATTGAATAAAAAATTGACGTAATAAATTTACTTCAAATGATTGAAACATGAAAAGAAATTGTTGTTTTTCATCAATCGACATCGAATTTGATTTTTTTTCGATCTCTTGTAATTGATCATGAACAATCTTCAATAAATCATATAGCTTCTCATCATAATAATTTCCATCAAGCAAAATTGTTTCCAATTGACGAAATACATTTGGTACTGTTTCACTGACAGTCATTTTTTACGATAGCTGTTGTAGAGAGAACGAATCAAGTAATAATATACTTTCAATTCGGTAACCTTTATAATGCCCTCCTACATTTGGTGATTAATCGGATGTTGTTGTCAAATGTAAAGAGTGCATATGCGACTGGAAGGCATACTACTTGATTGAAGCATTAAAAAAAAGCAGTACCAATATGCCTGAATCAATTGAAGATAATCGTTTCGTTCTCTTGCAAAACTATGGTAAACAGTAATATAAAGTGCTATGATTAATTTTAATAAATATTGATTCATGATATGTTTGTGTACTGAATATTCAACAGTCAGAATGATGCCAAGATTATTAGAGTGTTTAGGATTTGAATATGTGGGAGATGCTTAGGTGTGAAATTGGTTGAATAGAAGATCCACACCTACATCCTTTCCCTAGTGGAAATTATCATTTTTCATAAAACGCTTTTAAAAAAATTAAGGGTTGAGTATTTTTTTTTAAACGAATTGTAACAAAATTTATAAAACTCTTTTCTCTGTATAACATATCTTAAATTTTGAAAAAATTCTGACGATCTTAATTGAGCACGTTCGGTCGTGAATTATATGGATTGAACGTCGAGCACGACCTAATTGCAAGAAATAAGGGTGAGTATGGATCTTCTCTGTTTCAACGACTACCGTCATATTTATAATTTAAAAAACTGATACAAATGCTGAATCATGAGAAAAAAAAAGAATTATCATTTTATTAACTACGATTGAATGCATTCTATTTTACGTTACTGAATGATGTTAACTGCTTCCATCAAGTATTTTACTGATAATCTGCTCTATAGTTTGCATAGAAGTTAGAAAATAATCTTCGATACAACTGCACATTTGTAATTGTTCATCAGATGCATATGCTGAATTTTCCATATCAAAGACATTAATGTATTCAGGTAAATCAAATTTTGATAGATCTAATTTCAGATTATATGATATACAATGGGCCACTACTACAAACAATTGTTGAAGTATACATATCGTGTGTATATTTTTTAATTTGATTTGATAGATCTTTTCCATCGAAATTTCTTATGATTGTCACAAATTGATCAATATCGAATAAATCAACTGATATATCCATTGCTCAGAATTTTATCGTCATTATTATTATAATTAATTATATCAATAAACACGATATTTTATCGATCATCGATAGGAAATTGATAATAATTAGCTATCATTGCTTGTACATAACTATCCATATTCGTAGTTACCAAAGCATAAGATGGGCTTATTGTTATTCTCCAAATACGATTATGGAATGTACGTTTATTTGCAAAAAAATTCGCAACATAATCGATGATTGTTGACTTACCTAAAAGATAAGAAATATGATAGTAAGTTTTATAATAATTAAACTATGTATACATACCAGCTCCTATCTCGCCTATAGCTAATATGTAATGATTGAATATTTGATTAGTATTGAATGGTCTTGAAATGTTGAGAATTTTCCTCCAATCGATTGATTGTGTTTGAATAATAATAGTTTTAGATAAGATTACCAATCGAATCATATGAGTTTTGAATCTTTCGATTTTTTATTTCAATCGTTCAAGATCATTTTCAATGAACTTTTCAGATTGTTGCTATTCTGTTAGTTCATTTTTTAAGAACATCATTTACTTTTTATCTTACTAAACAATCGTACAACAATTCTTTGAGTTTCATCAGCTGTTTCACAACAAGCATCGATTGTTCTTACATGCCATTCATCGATCTGTTTTAATAAAACTCGAGCGTCATCATTATCAAGTGAATTCGATGAACGATTTATTCTCATATGAAACTCTTGTAGAATTTCATTATATTCATTGATAATCTTATTGAAATCTTTCTTGATTTTATCTCGCTTTTCATAAAAATGCTTTTGACAAAAATGTTCAGTACATTCATGACATGGCATAACCGCTACGAATTTCTTCGATGTACATATATTACATGAAATTTCAGTTTTATCAATAGCAACTTATTGAGAATTAGAGATGATGGAACAGTTGTTATGATTGTTGGTAGTGAGAATAGTGTGTGTGTGTCTAACTTGGACTGTCTTATGATAAATATTTGTAATAGGTGAGATGAATATTTGTGCAACATTAGAATCATTGAATGTTGATGTTTTCATATATTGAAGATTGAATTGATTAGCAAGAGCTATTACTTGATCATATGTTATTTACCGTCGTGTGATTAAATCTGATTTGTTACCAACAAGAACAATGGATGATAATTTTTGAGATTCATATTAATGTAATTCTTCAATCCATTCAACAATACTATTGAATGTTTTTGAGTCAGTTAGATCAAACACAACAAAAGCACCATGTGCATGACGAATGAAAGGTTGAATCATCTGTTTGTAAGGATCTGTATCTGCTGTATCCCTGTTTATGACAAATGAATCTAATTTAAGAAAAATGATGATCTCCTATGAGAATTAATTTACATAAGAAATCGCATCCGAAATTCTATTGCAGAACATTGTGCCATTAGTTGCGTTATATACAGAATAACAAAAGTAATCAATATTAATCTACTGTGCAAAACAAGTTTTCTAGTACTCTTTATAATTTGAATTCTTAATATAGAAACTTTTATATAAAAATCTCATCACATTTTTATAAACGAAATCATATTTCACTCATACAACGCATGTAATCATCATGTTTTGTCTACTTAATTTAACTAGTGATCGTGACAATTTTCATTGATAAATGATACTATTCTTCTATGTCGATGATGGATTTATTTTTAATTTTCTTCAAATTATCAATATCCGAGAAAATCTTCATTGCAACTCTCTAACATGATTGTTAAAACAATTCTATTAATTTTTTTATATTCTATGTTGACATTTGTCTGATAAAAATTTGATAGTAGTGCATATCGGACGACAAACAACTTGTAATGGTCTATGGTAGTTGTTTGCAATGAAACTTTAAGTTCCCGAACAAACACAGTTATTCCTACGCTGTTTGCAATAAATAAATTCTAGTCTGTTGAAGATAACAGATTTTTATCGTGCAGAAACATTATACGGTTGCAATATTAGACTATAAACGAACGTATATATATATATCATATTTCTTCGTATACGAGAGTATTTTGTTGTTTTATGTGGTTCTGTAATACAATCATGTCCTTATGGCGATATACGACGACGATGTAAAATGTCAACATTTGTTTTCGAACAAATACAAAAGCCGACAAACACACTTTTTACAGCCTCTCAGGTGCGTTCTTTTTAATAGTATATTTTGTAAGGCTGCTATATGCTTTCATGTAAGTTTTTTCTTCTACAAATTCGGACTTTGTGAAAGATTTGTCTCTTAAAATACACTGCGAAAAAAAGGTAAAGCTTCTAAAAATTCTTCTTTTTTTCATACAACAATTCAAAATAAATTTGAAAAGCTTTGTTTCTATGTTCACTATTCCGTCTAGTCATCAAAACTATCGTTTAAATATTGATATTCGCGTCTTAGAATGATGATACAGCTTTCAATACTATCCGACTACTATAGTGATGTACAAATGTTATATTCAATGTTAAATCATCATGTAAAACATTTGTATGTCAGTCTGATGTCAATGGAAGCTGACAAACTAATCCTTCAGCACAATCACATCATTGAATCAATAACAATTAATAAGCATGTCATGAAATATTGAGACCAATAGCAAAGTCGATATGATAGATATATTTAGTCTTCGTAGGTGTGGCTAGGCAAAAATATGAATCAACATTGAAAATATTATTATTTAAATGTGTAATCCCCATAATCCCTATATGGCAAGCTATATTGGATGCTTGTAGGTCTCTTATTCATCTCCACCTCACTTTTAATATATTACGTTGATATAAAACTAAAACGAGCAACTGTTATCTGTCTTCTTGTTCTTTTTTGAGACATACGACAATTGTAATAACTTTCTCTTGTTTTTTTTTTCTTATTTCCAGTTTTAATAGAGGAAACTATCAGGTTCGTACGGCAGAAAGAATATTTTGCTTTCCTTTGATCAAATAATTAGATGTAAGATCTTGAAGATTAGACGAAATCCTATCAAAACTGTACGAAAAATAGCCACACGTGAAAGCTTACATTAAATTCTACTTTAAAATTTCCTATCATTCTATAGTGACATCTTATGGGATGATAAGATCTTTGAAAAATCTTAAAGTAGGATTTAATATAAAAGGATTCCAGAGGCAATAATTTCTTTCTACGATTTCCATCTAATCTTATAAGATTAGGAAAGGATCATAGGTATGGTCCTGAAAGATCTTACCATCTGATTGGTTGATCTCGGTCAGCTTATTCATCGTGTAAAATTTGAAGAACAACCAGAGACTTAATACAAAATTATGCAAACGATGAATCTTATAGTTCAGTGTGTTTACATATGTGAGAAAAAAAAATTCAAAACACTTACAAAACATGAATCATCCAATCAGAAATCTGTCTACTACTTTTTCCTTTCTTTCTCTTTTTTCTTTCAATACCGATCGAATCTTTCACTATCATATGTGTATGTGGTGCAATAAATATTGTTGAATCCATGTGGAAGTAATTCAAATTCAATTTTTTGTTTCTTTCTTCAATACTCACTTGTTTTTTAGTTTTATAAAGTCTTTGTTTTAGTTAATGGAATAGTTTGTCTCTAAAGAAAATCGAATTTGCTCGATCATCTATTATGTCGACAGAACTAAACAATAGTAGTCAATCGAATAGTGGTGTCGGTCGATTATTTAATAATGTAGCGAATTCCTATATACATAGTGATTCAATTAATGCAGCAAATAGAACGACTACTTCTGTTGATAATGATAATAGACAGTCTTCAACATGGGTTGATACATTAACTCAACTTGATCGTGTATTTTCTGGTAGTCTACTTCGTGTATGCTACAATATCATTGATATTATTCTTGTCTTTCTTGGTCTATATTATGGTACAAAAACGTGTAGTATGTCTAATGCTTTTGTGATAATATCAATTTGTATACTGATTTTTGATGGTATAACACTTTTCATTACTTTTCTATGTTTCATTCGAAATTGGTCTTTGCATCGTATGACTCTGTCCGAGGCGACAAACTCGAATCAATATCGTCAAGGATCTACTTTACGCAGTATTTTTCATTTTCTGAAATTTATTTCTGTTTGTGTCGGTACTATCTATGTATTTACATCAAAAATACCGATAAATAATAATTGTGAATTGATTCGTTTCTATCTTGGTATTGTATGTTTTAGTACATGGATTTTAATTTTTATTTCGCCACCAAAACCTTCACTTCCAGTACGACGATCATTAATAATAGAATGTCTTATTCTTGCCTTGTTGATTATTGTCAATATCATTTACTTGTGTATTGTAACATTTGTCACAATAAAAACTAAAAAATCAGAATGCATATATACGCGTATTGAAGATCTATATTTTCATGCACCACTCAAATCATTTGCCTATGTTGGACTTATTTTAGCTGGTTCTAGTATTTGTACTAATATTTCTGGTGCCATTATTAATCAACTTTTTTATCGTCGAACTAATTTACGAAGATTTTTCATCTATTTATCAGCAATTCATTATGTGATATCATATACTATAACTGTTGCTATTGTCTATTATTATTCAGTCGGAGCTATTCTTCTATTTCAACCTCGTTCAGGTGGTTCATGCTCTAGAGTAGCTCCCAATCTTTACACAACTCTTTGGATATGGCAAATAATTCGCATTCTTTTTCCACTTATTATCTGGCCTCTTACATTAATTGTTTGTTGTCTTGGAGTTACACTTGGAGCTTGTCTTACATATTGTTTGCCGGCATCAATCACTGTTCCACTTTTTACAATGCTTAGTGTATGTCTTGTTTAAAAGATTCAAAATTTGATTGCTATTCTCTCTGTTCAGGATAGACTAATAAATATTACTTCTGCACCCAATGAAAATCCTCCAGCATCACCAGGTACTATTGATGCTTTGCCAATGGTAATTTTTGGTCAAACATCGGATGAATTTAATCAAGCTGAATGGTTAGTATGAAATATCTTTCGATGATAATATCTATGTTTGTTTTTTTTAAATATTTTTCTAGTACCATTTGTCAAACAGATTATAAGGCTAATGAAAAAGTAAAAAAATTGCCGTGTGGTCATATCTTTCATGACAGTTGTGTAGCTCAATGGCTATCAATTACAGGTATTTGTCCTGTTTGTCGTCATCGCATTCCATCCGCACATTTGTAGAACATTTTTTTTTCATTTGCATCAGTTTGTATGCCTTATTCTTGAATATTCTTCGTATTTAAAATGAAGCAATCATACCTTTTTTTAATGAAATAAACTTAACTAAGAATGTTTTTTTATATATTACATTGTACAGATATGATTCGAAATTTCTACGATGGATTTGAATCACTATTTCACCTGAGTGCAATTCATCAACAATGTCAGTGATGATTAGAAGATACTAATAAGTCTTTTTTTTTGTAGTTCATTGAGATTGTATCTTGTGCTTGTGGATGTGAATGTGAGTTTTCTTTTCATTGACACTCACACCCGGAATGAAGTCTAACAGTCTAATTCGACCGACAATCAACTTCTGGCATCTTAATTGATTATTCAGAATATAAGAAATTTAATTTCAAGAGAAGGCCAATTTCACCGCTTGACGATTCTCGTTCTTTGATATGATGTCAAAAATCTATTTTCAAGTTTGAGATATCTCGGCTTCTGAACGTTTTTGAAACAATGTTTAATATATGATTTGATTCAGAATGAAAGGGATTACAAAATGAAATAAAATCTTTTGTTTTTTTTGTTTTTATTTGATCTTTTTCGCCTCTATATTGAGATTAAGGAGAAATGTCATATTCGTAGTTTTTAAAGTAAGTCAATCTTTATCGATTAGTATAGGACGCAGTTTGAAACAATGAAAACATCTCAAGAAAAAAATTCACAAAAAGTAATAGGTAAATTTTGGGTATTTTTTCAGGATATGTTTGGGAGGTATATCAGGTCAGTCTACCATAACTGACTAGAAGTAGATTTTTAGACTCTAATACTTTGAATTATTCTATGGTATATAAATGATCTAACTTTGTATGGAATCAAATTCAAAATCTTTCTACCTTGATGTTTTTCGATTTTCTCGTGGAATATCTCTTCAAATATTTATATGAGAATTTTTTTTATATTAAAAACTTATATTTAATCATTTATTGTTGTAAAACATCGATAAAGATTGAATTAGTAGAATAATTATTGCATTCAAATGAGTTTATTTGCAAGTAAATTGTATGAAGATGATAGCATTGATTATTTATTACCTAAGAAAACGAAAGAAACATATTTACATTAATCTTATCATTATCTCGAATATCTAACAGTAAAGTACATTTGAAAGATATTATCTTTCAGATGAACATCAATTATCTTGTTTCAGAAAAAAAAATATCCTATTTCAAAAACTTTTTACAATTGAAAGTTATATCATTTTCGTTATGAAATCGTGTGAAGACAGCATAATGACAAAGTTACTATTCCTATATCTAGCACAACTATTTAAGAATAAATAAAAGACCCATCGGCATTCTAGTCATATTTTTTAATCATTCACCTATTAATTCCTATACTTAATCATTGTATAAAAATGTGTAATTGCAAGAGAATCTACATTGATTTGATAAATAAATTGTTTTCGATATTCGATGAATCTATCATACTCATTTACACAAAAATTTTTCATATATGAATAAAAATGATATTTTAGTATTGATTAGTAATAGTATCATTTATTCGGTTTAAGTGTTAATCATGGTTACATATTTGTATACTCTATAAACTATTTTAATAAAAATGTCCTTCAAAAGAAATGAATGCATTTCTATTGAAGTATTTTAAAAAATCCTACATATCTCTACGGAAGGTATATATTCTATCAAATAGATTGTTATTAAGATGTCACTGAATCAAGTACCATTATCAGCAGATGTTGAAAATGATAACAAATCGAATTAATGCAATCAAAATCGTGTTGAATATTCTGATCATCAAACGAGTTTATACAGATAAAGTTGATTTAGTCAATGATGCAAATGAATTAAATCCACAACATCCAAACTATCGATCGAATGGATCGAAGTGATTACAAAAAGAAAAGCAAATTGAAGATTTACTTGGAAGTGTAATTCAGACAAATAAGTTTTCATAGTTCGAATTAAAATTTTTGTTTTTTTCTTTTCCATGAATCAGGAAAAATCGAATTTTATTCTGCTTAAAAATATAGACTGAGTAACTAATATAAATCATAAATTTCTTAACAACATATATTAGTACAAATTAATTAGTATCATTCAAAGCTAAAAGGTTTCCTGCGTTTTTTTTCTTATTATATAAAAATTGATTTATCGAAAAAACGAACTACCCCAACTAACATCCGTCGTTTGAGATCATATTGAATTCACAGGCAAGTCATAATGAGACTAGCAAGAGCTTAGAAGGATTCATTCCCATAAGCCTTTGTCGCCGAGTTATATATCATATGAAAGAATTTCGGTCTAAAATATTCTCCATAGACAGGTCTAATGACTTTTACAGTATCTTGAAAGTTTTAGCAGAAAAAAAATCTTCCTTCGTCAAGATAGTTAGTCCTTTGTCACAAAAATTGAGTTCACCTGAAAATTCAATAATTCTGCGAAGGAACATTTTTTTCAGCTAAAACTTTCGAAATATTTTAAAAGTTATCAGATCCATCTATGAACAAAATTTTGGATAAAAATTCTGTTATTCACTTTTTCGAAGAGCATATAAAAATACGTGAAAAATCCAGTAAATTGGTCATAATTCGGCGCCAAAGACCCATAGGTACAAATCTCTTTAGATTTTTGCTAGTCTTATCGATATCTCCTTGTGGTTCCAATATAAGCTCAAATGGTAGGTGTCAGTTGGGATGGTTCTCTCGGGGGTACAAGCATCAAGATACATTTTTCATAACCTTTGGAATAATTCTGATATACATATATTACATTCATACATTAGTTATTAATCAATCGACTACGAAATACTCTTTTAACAAATTACCTTCGTACAAATGTTAGATGTTTATAAACCAAGATAATGTGTTCAAAAATGATCTCTATTTTTGATGAAATTTCATAACAAACTATATTTTTAGTTTATTATTCGATACAATTATGCTTATTAAAAAATGATTTAATATTTTGAAAGTTTGTTAATACTTAGAAAAAAATATTTCATAACGGTCGATATTTTCTAAATAGCTCAACTCTAGCTCAAGGAAAAATTTATACTGATAGTAGATCTAAATGATTTCTATCTATAATAAAAATTTCAAAGAATTCGCTGTTGATGAAAAATCGATGTTACAATGTAAAACAAAAAACAAAAATGAAATTTTGTAACGCTTAGTCATATCGATTAGATAAACTATATTTTATTAATTCATCCAAATCTTTCATAATATTGTTAGCTATAGTTTATTGTATGTAATGAAAACTCACATGAGCAAAAAAAAAAGTAATTAAAGAAAGATTGTTTTTTTTTTCTTAACGTCCATAATGTGTATCAATTGCTTTAATAGCTTCGGCATAAGTTTTTGGAAAAAGTAATTCAATTCGTTTTTGTCGATGTTCTTCTTCTTGTCTATATAATTCAAGTAGTTCTTGAAATTTTTCATCGGTCATACCAAGTTTTTTTGCTAATGCAGATATTGAATCAATTTCTCGTGTTTTTAAAGCACCATCAGCAGATGCTGCACGAAATCCATCATAAATAAGTTCAGCTTGAAAATGTTCAGCAATTTTTAATTTACTATCATTATTAAATACAGCTGTTGTATCTTCAGAACCTATTTTATATTGTTTAAGAGCATCAAGTTCTTCTTGTTTTACACCTAAATATAAAATCGATATATATATATTTATTATATTAAAACTAAATAACTTACCACGTGTTGCTGCATAACCTAAAACCCATTTTCGTTCGGCGTCAGTAAGTACACCATCAGCACCAGCTACATCTAAAAGTGCTTTAGCATATATACCAGTAATATTTCCTTTCGGTGGTCTATCTTTATATTGAAAATAATCTTGATATATCCATTGAGTTATTAATTGATCAATTGGTTGTTTAGGCATTTTGAAAACGAGAGCAGTTATTTCAACGATCACAACAGAAGCGAAATAAATAATATTGCACGATGTGATACAAGTAATTATAATTTGTTTCTTTCTTTTTTTTTTTTTTGGTTAACCATGTGTGACGGAATGAACGAACGCAATAGTATATTTCATAGTA